ACAGCTTCACAAACAGTCTTTTCAACTACACAGTATTATTTCTGTCTTACAGTCATTTATATGTGACCCTGGACCACAAAAGTCTTAAGTGTCAATTTTTTCAATATTGAGATTTATACATCATCTGAAAGCTGGATAAATGAGTTTTCCATTGATGTATGGTTTGTTAGGATAGGACAATATTTGGCCGAGATACAACTATTTGATAATCTGGAATCTGAGGGTGCAAAAAAATCGAAATATTGAGAAAATCGCCTTTAAAGTTGTCCATATGAAGTTCTTAGCAATGCATATTACTAATTAATTAAGTTTTGATATATTTACAGTAGGAAATTTACAAAATATCTTCATGGAACATGATCTTTACTTAATATCCTAATGATTTTTGGCATAAAAAAAAAAATCAATAATTTTGACCCATACAATGTATTGTTGGCTATTGCTACAAATATACCCCAGCGACTTAAGACTGGTTTTGTGCTCCAGGGTCACATATGATTGAGTTTAACATCAGCATGTTGCTAAGCTAATGGCAAGAAAAAAAAAGCACATTCAAATATTTTTATATACACTATACCGTTAAACAATTTGGGGTAAGTACGATTTTTTAAATTCTTTTGAAAATAGTCTCTTCTGCTCACCAAGGCTGCATTTATTTGATCAAAAATACAGTAAAAACAGTAATATTGTGAAATACTATTACGATTTAAAATAAAGTTTTTCTATTTTAGTATATTTTATAATGCAATTTATTCCTATGATGGCAACGCTGTAATTTCTTAATTTTGTAATTGTCACAATATTCTGCAGAAATCATCCTAGTATGCGGATTTGCTGCTTACGAAACATTTATTATTATTATCAATGTTAAAAACAGCTGTGCTGCTTATTATTTTTTTGGTAACTGATTTTTTTTTTTTTTTTTACGTTTCTGCCAATCTCATGTTAATCTTGAGTACCTATAGAGTACTGCATCCTTCATATCTCCGAAGAGTCTTTAGTTTTATCAGATTTATAAAAGACAGATACAGCTTTGCGCTTCTCCCTGAAAACAGTCGAGCTCCTGGAGGCGTGCCGTGGACGGAGCTAAAGAGTCAATAGCACGCAGAGCTTTTGCATAGCAATCGTCTGCAAGCTGTGACATCGACATAATAATTCCCTTATCGCTGGGTTCTTTGGGAAGCTGAACAAGGTTATCTTTCCCTCACAACCAAAAGCACATCTCTTTGGTGACATTGTTGATTTTGTGGTCAAAACAAAATACATACTCGAACCCTGAAGGAGTGTACTTGGCACAGAAATACTCCTCTTTAAGATTCTTCAATGAACAGAAAGTTCAAAAGAATGGTAGTGGTAGAGCATTGTACTATATTACATTATTTTGAACATTTTTTTTAATCGATACCTTTTACTGATTAGCATAATTATTACCAAAGAAAGCCTGATACAGATGCAAGTATATTTATATTCAATAAACATCTCTCGCTTTGTCCGCCATCTTAGACTGTTTTTTACTTGGCACAATGCATTGTGGGATTGCCTTCACCCTGAAGAATTCATACAGTGCTGCCTTTTCATTTGGCGATTTGAGACGTTGCGATTTCCTAATCGTAAAGCCTGCGATGTGGACGCGATATTACTCTGTTCCAGAGCATATGCATGACTGCCAGCCTTGAGTTGCAATCTTACTTGCCCTGGGCAAGAGTGAGCACACCTCCGTTCTCCCCAATCGTTTTTTTCAGCAGGGTAATGATACCCATACTGTGCTACACATTATTGACAATATTGAGCTGAAGCTTGACTTTGCAAATTTAAAATCGCAAATCAAATCGCAATATCTGTCAAAAAAAATCGCAATTTGATATTTTCCCCCAAATCGCACAGCCCTACTATGATGCCTAAAATGCTGCCCACAATAGCTCACTGGGTTTTGGAAAAGAGCAACATTGCCAAAGAATAAAACCACTTACATCTTTGCAGGCTGCTATCTGGTTGATATATTCTCCATCAGTGAATATGATGTTCTGACCATCTGCTTGTAGACCTGAGAAATAGAGTGACATTTAAACAGAGAAAGTTTGTTGATGCTGTTAATACTTTACAGTTCCAGATTATAGTCCAAATAAGGCTTGCCATTCATCCGCCCGGAGCTGCTTCCATGTAGGACTGTTGGCGCAAGCTATATTAAAGGGATTATTACGTTTTGAATATAAATATTTTTCTTACAAAAACGCATCGATTCGCTACAGGAGGCCTTTGTTCACCCCCCGGAGCCATGTGAGACACTTTTTTTATGGATGGGCGCTTTTTATTTAACTTCTTTTGGACTGATGCATGCAACACCCGCTGAGTGGCATTAAACAGCTTGAAAGATCAAAGACAATTTTTAATATAACTCCGACTTGATTCGTCTGAAAGAAGAAAGTCATATACACCTAGGATGACTTGAGGGTGAGTAATTTGTGGGCTAATTTTCATTTTTGGGTGAACTAACCCTTTAACAATCTTTACGAGATATATTATTTTAAATATAAACTGCTTAAAATTACTACATAATATATCCATTGCTACACAGATTCGGGGAAATATGTCCTGTTTCAATAGAAAATATGTCAAGACAGGGAAGAATAGTGTGCTGGTCAAGCCATTTATTTGCCCTGCTCTTAGCGATCAACAGCACATAAGAGGGGTGTTTGTACCCGGCATTGTGACAGTGCCCTCCTGCTCCAGAGTCTCTGGGTTGATCTTAATGGCCGCCATGCTGTGACTGTTCATGTCTTGATACAGCAAACAACCCTGTAAAGCAAATCGCCACAGGAACATTTCTTTTGTAAGGCTGTACAATGAATGACATTTCTGGTTGAAAACGTCATAAGCATTTAATGATTTAAATTACGAGACATGACCAATAAATCAAACCCATATTAAGTACTACACATGGAGTACAGTGACATTATACAAGTAGACAGACAATCAAGAGAAACATTTTCATAAAACAAGAGATCAATACCTGGGCGAATCCCAGCCATGAACTTTTCTCCTTACGGTTCCTGATACGTGATGTGGAGTTGTACACATGGCCCTGCAATGATAGCCTCTTATTAGCACCCACACAAACACAAGGATATACAACCTGCTGCATCAGCACTAAACTACAACCACGACTTCACAAATCTCAAAACTGGAGAGGCACCTGTCAAATAAAAGCCTGAGTTGAATATAAACATTCAAACTGCACATAAGGATGTTTTATACCACCTTTTTAATTATATAATTATGTTTCTACATCATATTCATTGTTAAAATATAAACATTAAAACAATGGCTGTAAAAATATTTTCAATGTTAATATTAATATGAATATTTAATGAATATTTCTGAAATGCTGGCGCATATCACTAGTAATTACTAATTAGTTACAGATAATAACTGAAATATTTATTTACTCTGAGAACTAGCTTAGCAAAATTAACATATCATTTCCATTGTGTAATCAGCTAAATAAAGAATGTTCTCACCCGCACAGTGCCACTGTACCCTGAGCCCACTTTGTAGAGGCCATCTTTACAGAGCAGGTACAGGAAGGAACCATCAGTCTGAAGAAGACAGCGTTCATCTTCATCGATGTTCACTTCCTTCAGGACCCATTTGTTCATCAGTGCGGCTCGCTTGATGCCGTTCCCAATCCAGTCCTGGATCTGGATCTTTCCCACCAGCACAGCCTGCACACTCTTCTGAAGCGCGTTCAGGATTGTTGGAACCTTTTGTTACACAAATACAGTCAGGTCAGATAGTTCTTGAAAATATAGTTAAACATCTTAAACAGTTCTTGAGAATCCTTCCTCTTGAGAAAGCACACAAATACAGAATTATTTTCTGTGCCTTCTTGCACCTAAACGGACAAATACACAAAAATGTCAAAATGCCTGTTCTGCTGAGTATCCTTGTAAACATAGTCAGTTATGTCTTAAGTGAATGTAAACAAATAAGTGAAAAATGGATGTGCAACAGTATATTAGATCTGTGCAAAACATTGTAAAAAAAAAAAAAAAAAATTATTAAATAACAATTATTGGAGTACACTACTTTAGTCTAGCAATTTCGGAGTAAAAATTGTTTCAAAATAAATCCAGCACCATTTTTTTTCACTGTAGGTCTTAAAATGACAGCAGCCTAATATAGCCTACCTTACATTTGATGACTTTATTCGATTTCTGTTGTATTTCATACTGTACCTGAATGCTACTGTTAAGAACGTTTTCAGTTTACTTGTCTTTAATAATGTTTGAACTTATTAGTTGTAGTTTTCACTGTGGCCTCAAAACTGGAATCAAGAATTGGGACATTTTTAATTATATCTAAAATGTTGGTGTTGTAACAACCTTATTTATTAAAATACAATGTTACATGGGTCAAAAAAAACAGAACAAAAACTTTTTTGTGTAGAGGCCAGTGAAAATTTCAGCAGGGCAAAAATTGGCATTGATCTAAACGACTTGGTTGGTTTGTCATTGGTTTGAATCAGTCAAATGACTCACCCCGTGGCTGAATAACACTGGCATGACTCACTCAGTGAAGTTACGTTTCGAAATGAACAAGTGTTGGGGTTTTATTGTTGTACTTTAAGGCTTGTGAGACTTACATCAATATAGTTACTGACTGGTTGTTCATTTAACTGTGTGAAGTTAAGATAAAGCCCTACCAAACCCCTCTCTGCACTCCTTGACCTTTACCGGGCTTTCACCAGAAGGACAGCATGCCCCCTTCAGCTATGTCACATTATATCCCCAGGACACTTTATTTTCCCTGTTTAATATTTATGTTGATCTTTATTTAACATAAACAACTGTGTCTGTCTTCGCTGACCCTGCCATAGAGTTCAGCCGATGACAGTAAAGTGCTTTGATGAGAAGGGGTGAAACGATACCGAAGTGATTCAAGCAATCCAAAACCATCATGGCCGTCCGTGTTTAAAGTGTCTCAGCAAGGGGCGGGGAAGGCCAAGAGAGTATCGCGGTATGTACTGTGGGTGGTGTATCGTGGTTTTTCGGTTCGGTTTGAATATTGTTACACCACTATTGATGAGTGATGCTATAGATGACAAAGAGGTTTATTGATATTCTAGAACATCAATGTTATTGCTTTAGATGACTCTTCAGTCAATAATGCCATTTAGTTTTATTGCACTAGCTCTCCAGAGGATGAAGTACTCTTCTCTGTTCTTTAACGTCAACTCAAGTCTTACACTGCCAGCTCTCGAATTATTTCCATTATTCATTTCAAACTATCCATGTCAATAAATCGATTCAAATCCATGATTCAGCGATTTGCTCATGGAAATCCCTGTTGCTTTTTCATACAGAAAAAACGCACAAGTAAATATTGGTTTACTACCATGTAACATTGTATTTGTGAAAATGAATTAAAATGATTAAATATTGTTTATGCTTAAGTCCATTTAGTCGTAAACAAAGTGGAAAACATGCCTTCATTATTTAAAAATATATTCTCATTGTATTTTACTTAAGTGCATTAAACATGTACATACTGGGCAACAATGGCTGATTGGTTTAAATGAATTTCTCAGATTACAAAAAAATAAAAAAATAAATAACTGTTTAAGCCATTTAAAAGCAAATGCATATATATACATAAATATATTATATCATTAAAAAGCTGAAAAATATCGTTAAGCTCTGCAAAGCACTTGATCTGGACATACACGGCAGCATTTGCCTGTTCTTCAGTTTCATTCTGAACCACTTTAAGTTGGAAGTGTGCACTGTAAACTGACAGTGAGCGACGGCTCAGATATCACACTTTACACAAGCTATGCAAGTTACTCATGCTCCAATTAGGTTGTAGTTACCGTGGTAACAACAAATTAACTTCTCCGATGTCTAAATCAGTGTGACACTGACAGAGAGCATTAAAACATTTAAATAAGCAAAAAAAATGACAGACCTATATCATGCAGATGGTAGAAGACTAAGGAGTAATTGGCTGAGGGACTCTGCGCTGGCAGAATAATATAATAAAGACAGGAAATCAGAGAGATTTGACATTTTCAGGCAATTCAATTGTTGACCTCCACATGCAGTTGCGGTTCTGGCTATCGCACGCTGAGAGATGAGCGGTAATGTGCTGTCATCCTGACTTCAGATGAACAGCAGCTTTTTATGCAGTCTAAAATCTCAACCTCACTTGCCAAGCCAGAAATCCAGTAAACTTTTAAAACTTCAGGTACTGCTTTCTGAAGTTTGGATCCTTTAAAAGGAGATGCAGAGTAGTAGGTGCTACACACAGCCAGAAACAGCACAAATTTGACAGACTTCACCACATTTTACTTTTATCATTAGATCTTCTAGTGTTTAGGAATAATATCTATTTAATAATATCTATCTAAAAACAGTTCAGCGGCATCAGTGGAAGAAGCTACTTCCTCAAAACACATGCAATCTCAAAACACTGACTCACCTGGATGGTCTGACATGCATGACTGCCATTGTTGGTGAGGATGGCAGACACAGCCTGGAGGATTTTGCCAGTGTCTCCCCAGGCCACCACCAGGCTGAAGAGGCAGGCACAGGATAGCGCTGTGAGGGTCTGACCGGTGGGGTCGTTCATCCCTGTGCTCCGCACCGTTGTCTCCAGCAGAAGATGAAAGAGAGACTCTGCAGGGCCAACGGTGGAGTCATGATTAAAACATACAGACTCACTTATATATGTTATCACTTTATTTGAACAGGACAAGGTATCTCACCCAGCACATCTGGAGGTTCGGTCTGAAAGCTCTCCGGCTGCTGCCCCTGGAGCATATCTAGAAGTGCCTGAAGGCTCCGTAAGCACAGTGACGGGTGCGAGAAACGAGTCTCTTTGATGAGCTCAAACACTCCACATAGCCCAATACCAATGATCTGAGGAGCAGAGGAGCATAGCTGTGAAGTAACATTCATCCACACTAGAGATTGACCAAAATTAAGTTTTAATGGCCAATGCCAATATCTAGACAGTAGGATGGCCAATGACTGATAAAGGCAAATGAATCATATAAAATGTATATTAAAATGTAATAACAACAATAACATTTTCTTCAAACGTTTAAAAACGATGATTCAATACAGAGCTAAGAACCAAACAAACCAACTCAAGAGTTGAGTCACACATTACAAACTTTTATTTGAACTGCTGAGTCAGATTTCTGCTGCCATGGTAAGAGCGCCTACTCTGATTGGTGGAAATCTCTTTAGGATTGTGGGTAATGTAGTTAGGGTTAGGGTTAGCCAATGATAGGCCTTGTCTTGAAAGGTTTATATATTACTAGTCAAGCTTAATTTCTCTACAAAAAAAAAAAAAGATTCTTTTTTTTTTTCTTGTCCATCACACTATTTTCTTACCCTGCAAGCACACTGAATCAAGTAATACTTATTCCAGTACAAACAAAAAAAAAATTATCATGTGGCTTATTCAGTACAGGGCTCTACAGTGCGACCATTTCAAAAACCATTTTAAAAACTATCAGTTAATTAATCGGTATCGGCCAGTGTGGTCCAACCTAGCTATCGGTATCGACAAAATCCACTATCGGTCGACCTCTA